ACTGACATTTTGTTGAATTCACTTTTCCAAATATTTTGCTTTCATGGCTCTCTTAGTCAAAAAGGTTCCCGACCCCTGCCATAGACGAAGAAAGAGAAAACTACATTCAAGAGACTGTCCCGCTTAGAATACGGATTTATCACAACGGGTCATTCTCGCGCGCCAAGCCCGCTCCGCGTAATTTTTGTTTCGTTACATTGAATTATTTGTGTTCATTGGTTTCTATGCTGGCCCATCAAAATATTGCGTTGGGGACATTTGCCTAAAACACTAAAAGACAAATATACGGAAAGGAAGAGCACCAGAATCGCAAGAAATACGTTTTGTCTGGCCCTCATGCGCTTCCTGCTCTGCCAGTTCTCACCCTCGCGAACAATAGATTGCAAACAATTGGGGCGGCGGTGGTGGGTCTGCCTTCTGACACCCAATAACACCACATTAAACACTCCCAAATGAATTGAGGCTTTTGTGGTGAGAGATTGAGAAACATGTGAGAGGGAGGGCCGTCCAACAAACACACTGAACACTTCAGTGCGGAAGTTATGTAACGTGTGAGGAGCCCACCCCCGGTTTGATTTCCAGCAGCGCTGCACTATTCGCCAATGGCTTTCAAGCTCTGCTGGTGGGGAGGGGATTTGAACTTGTTGACACCAACAAGTGGGGGCGTTTTTGATCAGTGGGGCAGGCGGGGAGACCCCGGCGGGGGCGCTGACTGCTTACGCAACGGCCGCAGCTGACAATAGACACGAGCCCCTCGCGGGTGTCGGCACCGCGGCGTGTGCGGTGGCGTCGGCGCTCACCGCTGACAGGCTGAGGTGAGGCCCGAGTGAGCGGATCACGTCCTCGGTGAGGTCCGACTGATCCGAATCCCACACGAAGCCGATGGTGACGATCTCCGGGGAGTTCATGAGGACGCGCCTGATCCGAATCCTCTGGCCACATTTGCTCTAGAAGCGAGAAACGGGAGAAAACAAAGCAGAATGCTCCATTTTGACACACAGTTTCCAAGACTGGCTGGTCAGAACGGCATACGAGCGTTTCGCAAGCTTTATTGAGCATAAAATGTCACAGCTCATCAGTAAAAGAAATATTGCTAACTTTGTTGTATACTGAGAAAACAAAATGATGCTCGAGTTGCAATTTCCCCACAAATATACTTTCTCGGCATAAAATGTGGGCCTCCCTGATTAGTTGAAGACAAAGCCGATATTGTAGCAAGAGGCCTGAGTTTATTCTGTTGTATGAAGGCCAAACATGCACATTTGAATTGTCCAAAGCACATTCTGCTACCCAGTCGAAGGGCATTGAATACTGATCGGCCTTATCACTATTTGTGACTGACATATAATTCGGAACAATTATCTTTGCGCAAATTAAATTGACACCTGATGACCTCACACCAATTGCCATGGCATCGTGGTCGGAAATAACTGCTGTGAGGTGCCAACAAATTGCTGCACCGCTGACCAAAGTCTGCAAGACAACCGAATACTGGCTGGGCTACGTCACAGGCGGGGCCAAACCGCACCGCCGCGTTGCAAATAAGCCACTTACGGGACAGTTGCGAAGGTCACCGACCGTACACGCCGCTTGTAACAGTTCTCCAAAGGAATCGTCCTTGCGCTGAGACATTTGCTGGCTGGGGACGAAGAGGAGGCCCAAAACAGACAAGTGAGGCTGACGACAACGGCGACGAGCAATTGGGGACTTTTATGTTGCCGCTGCTTTACCAGAGTGCGGTGGTGGAGACATAATGCACCAGCTCTATAAACGGCAACGGGTCAGAGGATGCCCCACAGCTGCGGCACACGGACTGCGGACAGGGAGACAAACAAAGTGACCAAAAACATGGGCGATGATGTCATTTTCATTCACCTCTTACAGCTACTCGATCCAGTGGCTGTAGTGTGCACACCGGCCAACAGTGGGCAGTGTATTTTTTTTCACTCGCTCTTCAAGAGCTTCGCTTTTTTTTTTGTTGTTGTTTTTGTCTTTTGTTTTGTCACAAGGTGTTACTTCATGTGGACTGTCTGCAGTGTTTTTGGCCACGACATTCCTCAAAAGGGAAGAATCTGTGCTTGGTGGTTGCGCCTTATCGGCGGCACGCGTGTACCATCGCTGACTTTCATTGGGAGGAATGTCGGCGCTCTTTGACTGTCGCCGCTGAACAGCCCCGGGGCGCTTGTGTTTTTTGCGCTTGCAATGGGCAGCATTTTTCACAGCCCCATTTTGTTTAGCGGAGATGACGGCGCTGTTGGACAGTCTGCGTTGGTGCGGTTGGATGGATGGCTTGTGGAGCCGAGGATGAGGAGATAGGAGCGTATTATTTTTTACACTTGTGTGATAGGTAATACAGTGTAAGATATGTAGATTTTGTTTTCAAAAGTTCATGAAATGAACGTCATTAAATGGGTGAAATGATTCATTAAGTTATCAGCACAATAGGTTAAAAAAGCATTGGAAGGCCAGTGAATTATTCAAACACGTTAAAAGGGAGATTTGAATATAACATGGAAATGTTTTTTTCTGTAAAAAGGGGCAGAAAATACAAGATATATTCTTCTCCTTTTCATCCCAATTTTGTGTTTTCATGTAAACGTGTCTGCTTGTTTTAATTTGATTTTTTTTTATTTTGACACTTGTGTGATGGATACCTGTATAATATATATATTTTTTTTTTGAATGCGACAGTTTTATTATTTCTCATGTTTCGTAGTGAGGTCGAACTGGTCTGGTAAAGTGAGTCGGCATCACGCAAGGCCCGGTGGTCTGTGTGTGTGTGTGTGCGTGTGTGCAATTACACATCACACCATCTGTGGTTTACTGGCTTCTGCTGATGCTGCATAAAAATAAATAAATAAATAAATAAATAAAAAACCCTGCGAACAATCAAATCTGCCTTATTCCACTGAGGCCGCCCGCTATCGGAACATGACGGATTGGACTCACACGGTCTCAGACGTTGATTCATGCGTGTGCGTTGCAAGCACGGCTTCCGGCATTCGCGCAACCGAATCGCGAGTGAAGATGACGTCCCACTGACCTGCTCGTACAGCGACATGGCAAACTTCTGATGGGTGATGCAAGACTTTGAAGTGCATGCGTCCGTCTCCTCGGGCACGATGTGCAAGTGGATCCTCTCCAATATATTTTCCTGTCACACAACATTGGATTGATCAACACCACCAACAAAAAAAAAAAAAAAGAGCACTGTGGTCAGCTCATTTCTCACTCAGGTGTAGCTCAGTGTGGGACAGAGCAAGCTCAATTTTAGGCATAAGGTTTCAAAGAGGGGAAGATTCGGGCCAAGTGAATCGGGTGTTCTCAGGTCTCCGCGTGATAAAATATTGAAGACTGCATGGCAGTACTTGAGAGGTTACAGCATCACAGCCGGTTAATCGGACATTGAATGCTAAATTCTCCAGTGGCGTGCAACTGCCGCCAAGAGAGCAAGGTAAAGAAATGTGGGCAATTCAGGTTGTCTCAGGGAGACCACATAGGCACTGGGAAAAAAAAACAAAAAAAAAAGAATGTAATTACCTTCATTCTCACAAAGAGTGTACGCTGTCAAGGTGTATGAAGGACAGCACAATTATCCATCGCCACCAATATTCAGTCTGACAGCCAACAAGATTCATTTCAAACTGGATTATTTTGCCTCTGATGCAGCTGTGTCTCTCCGTCTCCAAATACCGGCCGGCCCTCCTTGACTACTGATAATCACTATCGGTCGCTCCCCAGGGACAAAAAAAAAACCCCAAAAAAAAGGTCTATCTCCATGGTGTGTGGTTTTCAAGAAATGTTTTTTTAGATGGTTGAACATTAACACTAGCGAGTCACGTTGACCCTAACAATTTTTTTTTTAATGTAAATGTCTAACTTTCAGAGACACCAGAGGGGTTGGAAAAAAAATAAATAAATAAAAACCAAAATTGTAGTTCCGGCAATTCAAACACATGCCAATTGGCTCACGAGTTAAGCCCATTTAACCAAAGCGGCAGTACCTAGCAAGGCTTCGGAGCTAGGCCCAATTTGCTTTGGTTCCTACCGTTATGCTGCATTTCTCCATAATAGTCCTCCTTTTATTTTGCTTTAGATAAACGCATTCAGTGTGGCGCTGAAGTGATGCAATCCCCGGTGCTTATATAATCTATCATCCTGATATTTAGTGGCAACCTGGTAGGGGCTGACGGGAGGGCGAAGGAGGGACAGACGCTCTTTCCTGTGACCTCGCCAAGCAGTTTGTTGCAGGACACACAGATAAACTCTCCCGTTCTGCTACTCTCCTTCCCGAGGGGGTTACCAAGGGAACTTACAAAGCACTCTGCGGCATCGTCCATGAAGCCCAGCTGGAAGCGCTGCTCGTCCTTAAAGGTCTCCGCCAAGGCGTGACGCAGGTTGTCTGATGGCAGCGCGCGCTCTCGACTGTGCTGGAACTGGGAGAATATGCCCTGAGGAGGAAGAAGACAAAGGTTTGTGCGCAGACAAAACAGAAAAAATGTCAGTCGCCGAAAAAGCACCGTACCTTTAACGCGCAAAAGATGCACGACTCGCCAAGACAGAAGTGGCCGGGTAGCTGCCTCAAACTGCGTCTGAAGATGTCCAGCTGCCACAACACCTACACAATTGGACAAAACACAAATTGTTTTTCAATTTTCAAGGTCCTCCAAAAGAGAAACAATGCTGACGGGCGGGGGGGGTGCTCATCTCCAACCAGCTCATCTGCCGCCTCACCCTGTGAGTCAGTCGCGCGGAGTTGGCGGCTGACCTCACCACGGGCGTCTGACTGGAAGCCATGAGGCAACTCGGGAGCCAACACCCCGGCAGTCACACAACACAACCTTCAAGTGTATTATTACGTCACTCGGGAAAAGGGCTGACGAACACAAGCGGTGACTAAGTCGTAAAACTGGGGGACTTGGTCTTCAGCTTTGGCATGAAGACAAAAACAAATTTAGAAATCGCATCTCCAATGAAACACCCACTAGGAATGTCTAAAAGGGAAGCGTACTATTTTTAAGCGTTTCCAGAATGGCGGGAGTATCAAGAGTTTGAGAATGACGGAATTCTGGCACAGGCGTGTGAAGTTTGAACACCCGAGTATCACTTGGCTGACATCATCAAATTCAGAATTTCCCAACTGTTTGTGAGCCAAGGGACACGTTGTGGAAAAATCTCATGGCACACCACGCAACACAAATGTCATAAAAAGTACAATGTAATCTCTTCTTCATCATAGGGATTCCATTCCACAACAGACAAATATGTGACATGGATCTGATTTTTTTTCCCTTGCAGTGTGAACAGTATAATTCAGATTTTTTTCAAATCCAATTATGGCCTCTGTCATTTATATGAATCGGATACGGGTCTCTTTACAGTATGAATGCTCATCCACACACATCAGACCTATACGTCATCAAAAGTATGCAATCCGCAGACGATAAAATCTTGTTCTAGTAACAATGTTGATTTTATATTTAACTTTAATTCAATCTCACTTGAAACCTAACAGATCAAGTGGACATTTGTGGCGATAGCTGTGATTCAGCCACACAGACACTTCAATCGTTGCGCTCGACAATGACATGACATCATCTTTAAAGAGAGCGTCGACTCATGTCACCAAAATATTTCTACCTCCTCACACCTTGTTACTCATTCGATATGCGATAAGATGAACCTCTGACCACAACGTACAAAATAACATGGACTGCCTTTGCCGGCAGAAGCCAGCGGGCAGCCATCTTGCGTTGCCACCGTTACTGACAACCTCTGATGTGTTTTTCGCTGAAAACATTCTGATCAGCCTGCGTTTTATGCCAGGAAGTATTGAGAGGGTCAAACTTCATCGTTTGCATTGACCATACCATGGATATCTCAGTATCACGAATAGTAACTGATAGAAATTAAGTTCACATTTGACAGCATTTTTTTTTCTTGATGGGCTGGCATTGTTCATTGTTCGAACAACAAATCTTTGCGTAGCACTTACAGAGAAACTATGCATTGAGAGCATCACCCAGACTTATGCATTCAAGTTAAGCATGCTTCACGAGTGTCAACGCAAGATGTCCACCGATGGCTTCACTTCTTGCTAAAACTGTGCCACGTGACCTCATTTTTTTTTTTTGGGGTGCGCGTCACTCAAAGTCATGCATGCTTGGTGCACATGACTGAAATCTTGGCCGTGTTCAAAATTCCCTTGCCACAAGAAAAGCACACGCGAACGTCAGGCGAACATTTGCGACCTTGAACGAACTCTGACAAGACTTAACGTTCGCTACCTTCGGTAGCGTTCGCAAAAAAGAAAAATCCTGCTACACGCTAAAGGCGCAAAATGTGAACCTCGAGGGACGACTGAAGACTGAAGCAGATCTTATCTCCACTCACTCACAAAAGTAGGTTCACACAAAACTGGTATTGTGTTTTATGAATAGCAACGGGTGGAAACATCGTAATTGGACCTCGGCCATCAAAAGGAAGAGCATGTAGTTTTTCAACCCGTCACTGTACATCGACGGTATTGAAAGATACACTTAAGACACTTGGCCTGAAGTGAATCGGTACACTTCATGTGAAACAGGATAATCACTCACCGCAAACTAACATGCCATGGAACAACAGTTGGGACTCCGTCTGATTAACCAGGATAGTAGCTAGGTGTTGGCAAGCTGTATTTTCAAGCGCAAGAATAAGAATAAGAATAAGCAAAGCAGTACCTGCACGGCGCTGTTGAGAAAGCAGCTGTTCTGACCCGGTTCGTTCAGCAGTCCTTTGGTGGGGGCCAGAGACATCATGCTCCCCGGCTGGTAGCCCTTCCCCAGATTGCTGCCCGGCTTCTTGAACAACCTGAGCAATGCCATTTGGGTCGCCGAGTCAGGTCCTTCTCAACGGCTTTGAGCGGAGGCAACCGGGGCGGGCGGTCCTTTTGCCCCTGGGAGGTGTAAAACGACCCCCCCCCCCCCAAAAAAAAAGTCTGGGACTATGTGATCCCGCGAGCTGCAAATGATGCCCTGCTACACATGGGCCACGAGTCCACGTCTTGAGTGCATGAGGAAGGTCTTCAAATTCAAAAAAAAAAAGGGGGGGGG